TGTATAGGGTAAATAAGAAACTTGCAGGATACAGAAGTTAGGAATGATGCAAGTGTATTCTATGCAATATGTGTACAAATTTCTATCAGCAAAATTTCCATTTTCTAGAACAAATAAATAAATAATGGGCTTTCTCCAAAGGGGATGAGAGTGCAAGGATAAGATATCTATGTTGTTCAGAATTGCTGAAAGATTCACTATCACTTATACCTTTGGTCATACTAGGTGACATTGAGAGTTGTAGTTTAGCAACTATATACGAGGGAACTATCATTCCCATGCTATTCTAATTTAAATATACAGCACATACTTAGGCACACATTCTTGAGATAAAGTACTCTTTACCATTAATATTTGTGTGAAGAGGGACAATTTTGGTATAGTCATTAAGGTACCAGGGAAGAAAACCAGGAGACTGGGAGGTCTAGTCTGCCTGGCTAGGTGATTTTGGACCAGTCACACTCTCTCAGTCATGATGTCAGACTTGGGTGACAAGCCAGTTTGGTCAATTCCTGGGTCAACATTTGTTTATCTTAGGAGAGCTTTGGAGGATATAAGAGCACAATTGGAATATATTGTATATCTAAGAAATATAAAGGGGGAAAGGTCTCCAGGGGGTGGGGGGTGCACTGTAATATATGGGTTTTTTTCCTTTTTCTTTTGTCTTTCTTTTATTTATTCAGTTGTATATGTACTGTCTGTATTATTTGTGTTAATTTTTTTTTTAAAAAAAACCATTTGTTCATCTGAAAAAATATGGATTTTGCACTTGTGAAAAAAACACTGGAAAGAAAAAAATGTACGAAGAAAGCCAGTTTAGAATTATAGTTACAGGTACTGGGATAGAAGTCAGCAGACTGTGAGTTCTACTTCTATCTTAGACTTACGTATGTGGTCCTCAGGGGCCAAGTAAAGCATCCCTGGCCTGCTCTCTAGTTGCCATAGGAAAGGGAGAATGGGAAACTGATGAAATGGCAGGGCAGCAAAAGATAGGGGCACATTCCAGACATATCTGGGGCGGGGGGGAACCAGGTCATGATTGGGGCCATAAATTATGTGGGGTCAGAGTTGGCTTCACTTGGGAACATGCCAACATGAAGCTCCTAATAAATAACAGGATTTATTTTGAAGCTTGGCTTGAGGCTCATGATTTAATTCGGGCATCCATGGAAACCTTAACACCAAGATTGCTTGAAAGGCAGGCACACATACACACACAGAGAGAGACACCATACAAATCCTATTCACTTTTACAATTTATGCCATCTGTTTCCTTTCTCTCTCATATTTGTTCGCCCTATTTCTCTCAGTACTCCTGAATGAACTGCTTTGATACCACAGCATGGATGATGACCTCCCTGTCAGTGTTGTTGTAGCTACTTAGCTATCAAAAAAGTGATGGGGTTATGGCCTCAGCTCAGAAAGGCATGAAACACCTTGAGTTTGTCTATGAGTGCCCACAGTTTCTAAAGAAAGGAAGAAGCTTAGAACTACTGACTAAAGAATTCTCCGCATTGTCTTCCATCGTCATACTTGCAGTTTATAAAGATAAGGACATGTTTGTTTATTATAATTTTTAGTCCAACGGACCAAGCTGGGAATGTCTATTTTTCAAATACTTGCATTTATATAGTTAATATACACAGGAGTCAGACATTAGCAAATAAACATAAGGGTTTAATGAAGTATTAAAATCCCTAGTAGCAGATTTTTAAAATAATCCAAGGAGAACCCAACAAGTTAATTGGACAAGAAATGTTAATACTGGGTGAACTAGAAAAAAGCCAGAAGAAAATGAGAATGGATTGGAGTGCCTACATTCCTAGGGTGTTCAGAACAACAACCTAAAACATATTTGTAGATATTGCACATGTTTTTTATAAACTCGGTAACAAAGATTTCAAGGACTAGAGATGATGTGATGATGATAAGGATAAATAATTCAATTTGGATTCTGTTTTCACATTGCAATGCAATGAGATTTTAGTTGTCCTAAAATCTCAGTGATTAGAGATGCACAGAATAAAATCTTTAGAGAAATAAAGATAAAATAAAGAAGAGAAATAAAATAAAAAACTGACATATAATATGCAAAACATTCCCAAATTTTTAAAAACATGACATACAGACATTTTCCACCAGTTAACAAATTACTTTTAGTACACACCATTCTTAAAAATTATTTACTTCCAACACGAATTTGAAAGGAAAAGTTGAGCCAAAACCCTCCCAACAGCCCTGCTTTTGTAGCCTAAGATTACTATTACTCCAAAGTAATTAAAATCTAATAAAGCCTACGAAACCGCACACAAATCCCTCTGAAAGATACTGTTTTTAGAGTTTGCTTAAAATAATTGGAATTTGAATTCTTGAGTGCCAAATCAAAATCTGGTCCCTTTTGGATGTGCCTGATGAAATGTTTTCCCAAACTGGGGAGGGAGGAGGAGACATCCAGAAAAGAAATTAATGTCACCAGATCCTTCAAAGTAAAGTTTGTTCCACAACAGATAAGCTGTGAATGAAATTGCAATCTTAGGTCAACAAGAGAAATGTAGCTTTTCTCTTCAGGGAAATCAGTACCGAACTACATGGTTCACTCATCCTGGAATTATTTCTTAAGATTTATGATGTGCACAAATACTAACAGGTTGTTTATTTACAAAATGTCTTTTTTAAAAGTAAAGGTTATTTTACAAAATGTATATTTTTCACAAGAGTATGGTGCTCCTTTGCCTGCCTTATATATAAACNCCCCCCCTCTCTCTTGTCCATAGTTCATCACTTTTTTATCACTGAAATTAATATTAGTCAATGACTGTAACAGAATGCAAAAATGACCTTGCGTAAAGGGCGGAAGAGCTAATGCCGAGGAAACAATCAGACAAGAGAAATAGGAGTCCGTGGTTGTTTAAAAGTCAAAGAAAGAAACTTAGGAAGGGCTCATCCTAATGGATCAAACAGTTAAAAGTGAAGGCAGGAGGTTTGTGCCTTCAGACTTGCAAGGTTTTGTTGACGTAATCTTACAATATAGTAGAATTTGTTCATCATGTTCTATATGGTTTACCAGAAGGCTTCGGTAGGTCAGAGAACACTGTTTTATACCTGATATGATATGCTTTGTATTATGACTGGGATCTTTTAATTTTAATCAAAATACTATCTTTTAAAGAAAAATCTGAAAGTCGTTTATTTCCCATTGAATTAAATGAGAAGGATTGAACTTTGCAGTAAATTCAATTTAATAGATGCCCTAATCCCTCAGTTCTAAAAACAAACAAACCCAGAAATGAAAATAAAAGGGGCAGAAAAGTCTTACTATTTCACTGTGTTTTCTTTATCCTTCAGTTCATCTGGTTTTACCATAAGCTCATCCTCTGAGCCACTACATTTTCTTTATTAGTGTGATGAATGAATTATTGATTCCTGTTTGTGCATCTCCACATTACAACTGTAAACAGCTTATTTAACAATTAGTCAAGAAATGTAGTGTATTTAAGAAAAGATCATTTATTTTTTGCTTATCAGTTGAGCCAGCAAGGGCTGGCTTTCTGGCTCCTAGGAGTGAAATATTGTTGGTTAAGAGCTTCAGGAATGTCTAGGCTTGATTTAATGAAGTTTGATTACTCTACACACAGTACATGTGTTTACTTCCAGATTGTGTTAAAGAGCAATCGCTAGAATTTTTTTCCTTCACTGGCATTTCAAATAAACAAAAGAAAAACAAAATAGAAAGGACTAAACTCAATTGGCTCATTTTGTTTTTGTTTTTTTCACTGCCCTACAAAAATACTATAGAACAAAACATTATTCTGAGACTTTCAAAGGCAGAAAAACCCATTGGCTTAAAATTTTTGAAGGGCTTGTTATAGAAGGGATTGGATTCTGATTGCTGCAGAATTGTGTGGAACTATGTCTTCCCATGATTTGAAAACTACTTTTGTTAATACAGCTTAAAATTGTCTTTGTCTTCTTTTTCTTCTTTTTTTGCAGCCAGTAAACCCTGCTGACTTTTTACTTTGTTTATAATCAACTTCTATTTTAAAGTTCTTTTTCAGCATGCATTGCTGACCAAAGAAAAGAGTAAATCAAATGCAAGCTACACTTGTGCTGTCTTCTAGTTTTATTACTATTCTTGCTTAGTGCGCCCCAGCTAAAGAGCATGGAGGGCAAGCAAGGCTAACTGAATTTTGAGATTGAGCAATGAACTCACTCAGAACTTATGGGACCCAGTAAAAGTCTGATAATCAGTTGCCCCCCCCCCCGAAGACCCCACATTCCTGACCTCCTGAAAAGAAGTTAAAACATGCTCTGTAGCCTAACATGGAGAACCCAAAGAAGCATTCAGTCGTGGGGCTGGTTGGTGGCCTGAAAGCCCTCCCTTCGCCTTTTAAATTAATTTTAACAGGTCTTGATAATTCTTGTCTCCTTCTAAAAAATAATTTTGAAATTGTAATTCTAACATTATAATTTTTACAGACTGTTTTTATATTCTGACATTTTATTGTACATCGCCCAGAGTTCCTCTTTGAAGGAGACAGGCAGTTTAGAAATGTGAAAAATAAATAAAAATATATAGCTCTAATTTCTGAACACTGGCACCTGTCGGTAAAATCTAAATTGGGAATAAAGAACATGGCTTAGTCCACATATTGGCTATCTGCATGCCTTCCATAGCTCCAATGCATGTAGACCAGATAATTGGGCCATTCTTGGATGGAAGAGGGGGACCAGAAGATACAAAAGGACAAAAGGTTGGGCAAAATGTTGGGCCCTGAATGTTGTAGATTTTCAGACATTAAACAACCTGAACCCTCTTGGCTATTGGAACATAGCCCCTAGCATGCTTTACAAAACTTAGGCAAGCCCTTGAACCTCTAAAGGTTCCCTATCTCTAATAAGGGCACTTGTTTTTAATGCCAATGACTATTAACTAGATATTAACAGAACATTTCTTCAATTGAACATTAAATGATACATCAATTAATAAATAGAAATCTTACCCATACAAGCAAGAGAAGGTTTCTTTTCACTGTTCCACAGTAACCCAGCATTCCAATAATGATGAGGAAACAGCAAACTGCAATCATGACTGGATGGACAACTGGAAAATAAGTGGACACAACTGCCTCCTCCACTCTGCAAATAAATGAAACATAGATTAAGTTTATAGAGTAGAGCCCAGCTTTCCTACAAAGCAGTTTAGAAAATAGTATTCTTCTGGGGAAAGAATGCAGAAATTATTTTCTTATTTAAAAGATTCTGTTATCAGACAATAATGCCCTTTGAATCTAAATGAAAATAATCTACTATCTATCTATCTGCTAAAGTTGCTTGCATTCATTACCTAACAATTAATTTTGGAATTGCAAGTCACACTGCTATATCAATTTAAAATATGCACTGTGTACATCAAACTCCTTTGGGATAAGTAAACTGAGTAAAGTATGAGCTACAATGAAATCTTCCAAGAAACAGAATATTAAATAACCTGAGAATTTGTTCTAAAAGAGGAGTGGACAATTCCAATTCTCACCACTCCTCTTTTAATTGTCAAAAATATGTGTACAATAGATTTTATTTTTTGCTTCTGGAAATGCAGTTCAGGTCCACAGATGACAGAGGAAAAAATGAGCTAATAATTTTCTTGAACTTCTTCATAGCAATCAGTCTAATTAACACACTAAATAAATCACTCAGAAATGACTTTTGCCAATATCACATGCTTCTCCAAGGCGTTTGTCTAGCAACCTTTAGAAAGTTGGACTAGGTGAGATTTGGAGTCAAACTGCACATTATTTTAATGATATAGGATGCAACACTGGCAAATACATCCTTCTCCTCACTTTTGTAGAACAAAGTACAGTAGAGTAAATGAATGGCCACATAAAGGACAAAAATAAGACTTTAACAATTTGAAATGATACAAGAAAAGAATAAAAAGATCACAGATCAAAGAGTTATGGTGGGTAAGTGCCAAACACATCACAGACAGAATGAAGCAAGATTTCATTGCTGATAAATGGTTTTTTTTTAAAGAACATGTTCTGCCTACTAAGAAACTCTTATTTACTTTAATAAATTCTGGACAACAGACAGCAGAGACATGCTGAGGTAACCTCAAAGCAACCTTTATTTCAATAGACAACCATATAATGACAACTTCAGCACCACATTCTGCTTGACAGCTATTTATACTGGAGCTGTCAAGCAGAGCAACCAATGGGCTTACAGTAAAAGTCCCGCTTCAGCCAGGCTCATCTCAGCCCATGAGAGCTGCCCTTTGGTTACCAGGCTGACAGGTTGCAAGTCAAGGACTTTCGGCCGATCGCAAGTCAAGGACTTTACATACTTGGAGCTTCAGCTGTTATAACTGTATTGTAAGTGAAACTTCTATCATTCTGATTCTATCTATTGGTTTTCAGATTTCTGCAGTCCATGGCAGTTGTAGTCGCCATGGCCAATCATAAAACTTAACTCACCACTCCATCTACATCTCATGAAGCTACCACCTCACCTTATTTCTGTCTGTGTGGAGGAGGTGCTGATAGTGAGGTGCTAAGCATCTCACTATTACTTTTCAGTGCCTAAAAATGTGTTAGGCTTTAAAGGCTAATGAGTTGAGAAGTGCAGCTATGGATTCAAGCTCTATTATAAGATCACACTAGCAGAATTTTGCAACATGACTATTTCCCTGCCTTCCTTTTACACTCCAGAAATCTGGGGAGGGGGTACCCTTTCTAAAACACTTCCCTTCCACCTTCTGTGAACTTAGATATATTTTATAAGACAATTGTCCAGTGTGTGGCTCTTCTTCTGTCTCCCAAGGTCATTACAAAATGCCTTTGAGATGTCAGCAGGGCCCAGAAGCATTCCAGTAAGATGTTATGCTTGGAGTTGATATTTTGCTTTCTTGCATGCAAACTTCCCATGCAAATTTCTTTATTTAAAATAAATTAAATAAGATTAAAAATAGTATCAGGAATGATGTAAACCTTGGCAGAATCAAGGAAAATGGATAGGGGGATACTGGAAGTATGGAATCCTCTTTTGAGAAATCGCTCCATATCTTTGCTGGATTCTTCTGCTCAGATAGTCCAGTTAAACTGATCAAACATGCCTACCTTGTTTCTGCAGTTAAAGTGAGAACATTATTCAAGTAATCTCTCATCCAGGCAGAGACGCATAACACAGTGATGGACATCAACTGAAATAAAATAGGGATTTTGTTTAGCAAATACAAGATAAGCAAGCTTACTTATTTAAACAATGTTATAACCAGCATACTATTGCATTAAAAATTATCTATGTAATGGCAAAGCAAATGTATCATTAAAGTACAGTCCTCTAAAGTAGCACTTTGCTCTTCTTTAATTTATTAATACTGTGAAAGAGAAAATTTCTCACTGGGACAATTTCAGTCTTGGCTGGTTTTCTTAGAAGTGCACAATCACATCTCAGGGACAAGAATAAGCTTTTAGCTTTTATTTTTTTGCTTGTGGTAAGATTAATATATCAGCAGAGATTTCACATGGAATTGGGGTAGAAAGCCAGCTGTCTGTGAAAGAAGCTGCCAGTCCCCCTATGTGTATGCAGTTATGAGTGCATAATTGTAAGATTATTTCCCCCAAAGAAGGAAAGCCATTCTTAAACAAGGATGTATGGAAGTGGGGGGACATTTCTGTTTGAAGCAAAATAAAGACCCAACTCATGAGAATTAGTTTATGGGTGCTGTTTTAAAAAATCAACACTTGTTGTAAGGCTGAAAATTGGCAAAATCTAAAACCCATAGTTTTGTTATCAGACATGGATAATGAGCTGCCTACTGAAAACCAGGAATAGACATTAATAGTATAGTTTATTTAGCTCCCTAGGCACAATAGAGATAACACCCATATCCAGAGGAAAGCAAGAGGCAGATATTCCTAGATTAACCACATCTCCCCTTTACTCTTCCCTTGTGTTTTGCCTTAAGAAAAAATAAACACAAATGTATAGGTTTATGCTCTCTCTCACGAGCAGTTAAACTGTATCAGATGCTATCCTGAACTAGCAAAAGAGTTTTCAACTGCCACTTCTGATCATTTTGACAATGTAATCCGGGATAACATTTCAAGCATCTTTAACAATGCCACTAGGTTTTACTCTTCACTCCCTTCAAGGGTAATGCAACTATGAGAAGAGCCAAGCTGATGGGTGAGGAAATATCATATTTAGCAGCATATAACAGAAATTCATAGGACAGAATCTTGTAATATCTGAAATAGAAGGCAAGATGTAACATGTTCCCTTGGCACATAATTGACTTTCANATAACAATTATGACATAAAACTTTTTTTTACGTTGAGTATATCCTAAATTTCAATAATTAGGCCAGGTTTGCAGTAAGCCATTTTCTTAACCAGCTAATTGCTTTACTGATCTCCTGGTCATTTTGAACAATATTAGATGGCAGACAGAAACATCCAAGCATGCAACCTCAAAAAAAAAATGGATTAGTTTTAAATTGGGACATTCGCGGAAGGTTATGTGGAAATTTTTCTTCTTGAAGTCTTGGAAAATGTGTTTTAAAGCACTATGTTTTGGAGGCTATACATCCTTCCCTCCCTTTCTTCCTTTTTTTGGGTGGTAGTGGTGGTGGTGGTGGTCCTACACAGCTTTAGTTTCGTAGATTTAAGGAAGCACAAAACAAAGATAACCCAGTACCATACATGTTGACTATATTTCCATAAACATCACAAGTATCTGATCAAGCATTCCAGTAAAGCATTTCACATCTACAGCCTCCAAAGTATTAGATCCCCATTTTAATGTCACATATTTCACAAGAATTGACAGTTGGAGAAAGTAACAATGTTAGGCCCTGCCTGACAATCCTGGGGACTATGGCTCCATTAAATTAGGAGCTAACCAGATTTCCAATGGACTATAATATCTCTGCAATTTTATCCTCCCCTTTCCTCGTTGTTTTCATTTTCAAGATGGGATGACAATTAGTAAGTCTCTAGAAGGAAACCCACTATCATAATTGTCCTCAATTCCACATACCCTCCCACAAAACAAGCTGAAATCACATCCGTTCAAATTCTGCGGCAAAAAAAATCCAAATTATCGCAGCATGATTTCACATTATTTGGTGTAGGAACTAAACAGTATGGAAATAGGAGAGATTTGCCTTTTGGTTCAATACCTTTCCTTATTTATAAAGTAAAATCCAAAGAATAATCATAGCACTAAATGTCATTTTGCCCCCAGATTTCATCTGTGTGATCTCATATTCTCGGGGTTGTGTGTAATGCATTGTCTCCCAAGAGTCAATCCAGGACAATGTGAGAAATCCAAACTGTTTCATGTTTTCCTAATGTCCATCATTGTTGCAGGGCTTACTAAAGGAAATTGTCTAATTGGTAAGATGCAGCATTGATTACAAAAGAAGATAAATGATATCACTACTATAACCATATTTCCATGCAGAATTAGAATTAGGCTTGTCTCATCTCATTGCTGTGTCATTTATTTCTGGACAAGCAGGAGTATTTTTGAAAAACAAAACAACGAAAGAACTCTAGTCTGATTTCAGCTCCATATTATAAAGTGTGCTAGGAGAATATTGGCTTGGTGGCTAGTGGTTCCCTCTCACAACAATAGAGATTTCAAGGTAGGTGGACATTAAGGCATTCACAAATTCAACTCAAACTGTTTATCAGAAGCTGGAAAGTAGAAATTAGGAGAGTGTGGCTAAGGCACTGTAAAAATATGGTAAACCATCACAGGCCACAGATAAGAAATTGAACAGAAGTGTTTTCATTCATCTGATGCAGCATCAACCTTCTTTAGGAGATTCATAGCATCAGGCTATTGAGTGTCTCCTATATTTTCACCTATTATTCAACTAACAAGATAAAAAGCTTACTATCAGCTAGGAAATAATTAACATGTAAGAACAAATCAAATACTTGAACACAGTCACCTAATCTTCACTTAAATGCAGAACAAAATACTTACCGTTAGTGACAAGCTATAAAAGAACTAAAATCTTACACAATTAAGAGCAACCTCATAAAGAAGATGGCACTTCTTTTAAGCAATATACTTCCATACATATAGGAGTTTGGAAGTTCAAGGAAGCATAATGATATATCTCAAGCCGAATGTTATATAATCTAGGCAGATAATTGTGGCCACTTTCTTCTATATGTCCAGGTCAGCTTTCATTTGTGTTGCTTATGCTCAGTTAGCCAGCTTATTTTCATTTAATGCAGCCAATTGATACAGATGCACCCATCTTGCATTTTAACCATATGGAAGCCTTCCCATTTTAAAACTCTCTGCTCCGATAGCTGTCAAATAAGTGTAAATAGGGCAGTAACGGATAATAAATGTGTGAGCCTCCAATGGTATGAGGTTGGCTAAACATGTCAGTTCAGTTTAGATATATCTTGTATTAAACCAAAAGGCTTCCATCTGAGTTATATTTTATCTCCAGATAGCATTTGTGAGTAAGAGAAGACAAAGTGAAGACAACGATGACGTTAGAAAGAAAACTTGAGGCAAACAGAATACAGGAACCCCAATGTCATTTTATTGTATATAAATTGTATATAATTTTATATATTACATATTTTATTAGGTAAAATGTGAAATGTATGTTCTTCTAGTGGAATCCCAGCATGACTCTTGCAATGGATCACATAAAAATACTAGAATAGGAAATCTGTTTGCTAGTAAAGAGACACTCATGGCACCAGATTAGTTGCTATTTCCTATGTG